TGTGCAGAACTGCTGTTCTGTTGATTGGGAGCTGCCAGCTGCTGCTCTGGAATGACAGGAAGTACTTCAGAGAATCTGAGAATTCAGCATTTCATAACTGATGGATTTTCCAGCTCACAGAATAAATGGCTCCTTAATTTGCACTTTTTCTAGGGAGTGAAACTCTGGCAGTGGCAGCATTAGGCTTATGCCATCTACATGGCTCTGTAGGGCCTGATTCTTCCAGGAAACCTGTCCTTTACACACATACACCACCACCAGCCCCTGGTGCCAGATAGAGCTATTCTCTGTCCATGTCCCTGTCTGACACGCAGACAATAGATCATGGTAGATATTACATTTCCAAACTGCCCTCTCTTTTTGGAAAGATGGCCAACTTCTGCCGTCTTGCAGTGGGGGGCACCAGTTGCCTCACAGACAGCACAAACATATGAGATTGCCATAGCCTCAGGAAGGTTTCAGGCAAGAGGTAGCTGTGTGGTAGGTCAGATCTGGGTGGCCCTGTAGGTGTTACTTCTCATACCTGATCTCTAGAGCACAAATACGTAGTTTGCACTTAATTCAGTCTGAGCAATGAAATTAAGCTAGTCGCTTTCATTTTTGCTTCTAGTTAGTTTCTAGGAAGCTCCCCTTGCAGCTGATTCCCTAGCACAATGGTGCAGTGTTTGAATTGCTACCACTGCAGGGGAATGTCTAAAGCCAAACAGAAAAAAAGCAAAACACAACATCCTTACATCTGAAATTAAAACATTTCTAATAACAATAGATTTTATAAAACTTTGAAAGTAATAATATATATTCAAATGTGTCAGCCGGTCATATTTCTGGGGGCAGTTATTACTGTATTATTATTTATATACAATATTCTATTACATCTAACTCTTACCACCTCATTCATTATGAGATTTTAGCCTCATAACACTCCTGTGATATAGGGACATAATATCCCCATTGTATAGATGGGGAATTGAAGTATGGGGCAGGTTAAGTCACTTGCATACGGTCCTATAGGGAGTCTGTAGCTGAGCCAGGAATTGAACCCTCATGTCCTGTGTCCTACACCATCTTTCCCATCCCCAGACAGCAAATTAACTGTGCCAGATAAATGACAAGTCCTTGCTCTGACAAGTTTAAAGGTACAAGTGGATACTACGCTATACGTAAGTACATTACAATAGGGCCAAATCCTGCAGTCCTTTCTCAGGCAAATCTCCCATAGACTTAAGGACCCTGGCAACTTATGTTTGCTATTTTAAAATAATGTATTAAATAATGTATCCCTATTCCATGCACAGCCCTTCTGTCTCTATTTCTCACTTTTCATTTGCTTGGAAATGGGTGGTTGTGGCAGATAAGCATCTCAGAGACTGGGGTGTGGGAGGGTAAACAGCAGCCTGAGAGCATGCACATGAAGCAGAGGCTGCAGAGCCTCTAATCCTGGGCTGCTGCCACCTGCAGGCTCTCTCAGAAAGACTAGGAGCTGACTGGAGAAGACCGAGCAGGGGCATCAAACATATGGCCAGCACATAATTTATTTACGTGGTCACCATGACCTATTCAGATTCCCCAGAATCTCAGCTCCCATTTTCTAGCTGCATTGGTAATAATCTAAAGCTGATTGGAATATAGATTTTGCAGTGGTTCTCAACCTGTGGTCCGCACACCAGTAGGGGTCCGCCAATATAGTCCAGGGGGTCCACGAATGTACCAGCAACCAGAGGTGACGTGTGGTGGGGGGCACATTTGGCCCTGCTCCCTGAAGTGCTGATGCAGCAAAGCAGAGCAGTGGTGTGTCTCCTTGGCTAGCTGCTGCCTGTGGAGTCAATGGCTGTGAGGCAACCCATTCTGATGGCAGGAGATCTCTTCTGCAGTGATGCTGCAATTTTTGGTTGTGGCCTTGCCCCCGATTTCTGCTGGGAGGCCCACTGGAGTGAGTCAAGGAGTGGCGGTGGCGCTCCCTCCTCGAGCCCCCCTAGATGGACATGCCCCACAGTTTGAAAACTTCTCTGGCATTAATAAGCTGTCAATATTTTAATTTGCTGTGTTTTGTTGATCTGTTCAAATAATAATTTCTCTACAGTAATATTCAGGATAACTATTAAAATAATGTGAAAGAAACAAATTATGAGCAACAAAATAATGATGGGGAGTTGGGGTTCTGCAAGTTTGTCAATTTAAGTTTAGGGGTCCCTGGGTAAAAAAAGGTTGAGAACCACTGCTTTGGATGACACTTCAGTGCCAACATCAACTATTTAATCACTCATCATTTTAGTGGGTAGGTTGGGAAGAGGATGGGAGTGCAGCCCACGGTGTTGGAAACTTGGAATTTCTGCAGGGAAGAAGAGAATGCAGAGAACAGAGGAAATTCCCAAAGACAGGGGAGGGAGAAGAAATTGAGAAAGGAAGAAGGAGAAACAAAAAGCATAAACAACAGTAGGCTTAAACAGGAACATATTTAAAACAAAAAAGGGTGCATACTGAAGATGAATGTGACAATAAGGTACTGAAAAATAACAATAAAACATTTAGTTACTGCATAAAGACAATATCCTTTCCTTGATATCTGTGCAAACGGCCAATTGACATCAATGTCTTCTTGAGAGTATATAGTCCTGAATTTATACCCTGGGCCATGAGCCATAATTAAAAGTAGAATTCAGCCCTCTTCTTCCAATGAGTTTGACACCCCTGCCATAAAGGATAAGGAGACGTTCAGGATTTTGAGGTTGGAGGAAAGAATACTTGAGCCTTGATTCCTCCCTCTGTCATGGGATGGTGGAAGAAGAGAAAATGTATAGTAAACTCTTATACGTTTCCCTCTTTCCTGCCTGCCAAAAAAACAAAACAAAAACCCAACATCTTGTGAAGTGGATGGGTGGGAAGGTTATTGTGGCCCACTCTCTCCAAAAATGCTGTTGCGCAATGTTACTCTTTCAAAGGTGTTATTATGGGGGCTGTCCTAAAATGTCATATGCTGTTATAAAGAAGTGGGGGATGATCCCTTTCAAAATGTTTACCAGTAATATAGCAATCTCGGGAGATTTTCAAAGGCAAAAAGGGCAATGAAAGTCAATGGAAGTTGGGCACCTGCCTCCCATTTGTGTCCTGACCAATACCTTTATTTACATTTCCATCTGTTCCACATAGATTGAAGCAGTTATTCTCATCACACACCCTGCCTAAAGCACTTGTCTACACTAGAGCAATTCTAAAAACTGTTTGGTCCACTTCGCAGGCATGTAAAACCTCTGCAACAAGTGCTCCAAACAGCCGAATAGTGTTTGAATAAGCAGTGTTTGGGTCTGTAATGTTTAATGCCAGTAGATGGACAATGGTTCAAGTAGCCCTCCCACTACTATCCAATAGTGCACTGGTGGCCTTTGAAATCTCTCAGAATCCCTTGCTTCTGGAAGATGTGCTTGAAATTGTGGGATAGATGCCAAGAAGGCATTGCAACTAAAGCAATTTAGAACAGCACTAGTGAGAACATGGAGCAAAACTGTAATGTACAGAACACAAATCACCGTGTCTAATGTGGGTACACTCATTTACTTGGACTTCAATTGGTTCTGTTCCACCAGTTCAATTAGGAACAGTTAATTAACTAGGGTAGGCATGGTCAGAGAGTGAATGAGGGAGGAAGCAATGGCTTCTGCTAAAATAGTGTAATTGGTGTAAGGAAGAAGCAAACATCAGGATGCGTCACTAAATCCTATCAAGCTGTGCAGGAATTAGGACAGAAAAACAAACTGTAAAACTGAAGAATTACAAATCCAACATGAAAACAAATGTCACTTTGAGCCAATGGGGGAAATTAAACTCTTCCCCAAATACTCCAACTCAAAGTCAGAGTTCAGAATACCAAGACAGCTTTTTTAGAACACTGTGCCCTACATACATACACACAGGATCTGTGCCCAAGAGGACCGAGTTCTGTTCCTGGGTCTGATATATGATCTTGGGCAAGTCACTTCACCTTTCTGTTTCTCCGCTTGTCCTCCCAACTAGACTTATGTATTTAATTTTCAAACTGTTCAGGCATAAACTTTATCTTATATTATGATTTGTATGTTTCCTAGCACAATGGGGCCCTGCATTTGGTTGTGATCTCTGTGTGCTACTGGAATACAAATAATACTAAGAATACCTTGTCCAAATTGTGATCCTACTGGATCTGACCTCTACACACCCTTGGCCTGCATCATAACTCCTCTGTGCCCCTGCAGAGCTGGCTCTATGGCTTGCAAAAGACAAAGGAGTCTGTGAGCAGGCTCCATGCTTTCTGATCCTGCCATGGTGGTACTCCATTCTGACCAATGCTTGTCAACATTTCAATCTTTTTTAAATCATTTTTGCTGGGTTTTTAAAACCAGTTTATATAGAGCTGGTTGAAATGTTTCCAGTATTGGATATTTCAACCACAGTTTTTGTATGGGAAATGTTTTAAAAATTCTCATAAATTGCCACCATTTTTTGACACAGACTGGCCCAGCCAGGGAGAGGGTGGGTCAATGATTCCACCCCCAAGGAATAGGAGAGCTGGCCCAGAGGGGCACAATGTCACTACAGCCGGGTGGCTTCTAGAATAGCGTCGAAGAGTTGGTTTTTTTCAGAGCTGCAGTGGGAACGTGGTGAGGGGAAGCTGTTCCAAGCCGAGCGGGCTGCATGAAGAAAGCAATGAATGCGGTGACCTCACCGTATTTCCATGTCTGCTACACACACGTGCAAGAAGGGACCGATCTGCACGAACGACACCACTGCAGTCCATCGCTACACACTTCTGGGCCCCTTCGAAGCCCCCCCACCCGCACCTATTTCCTACCCTGTCACCCCAGTGTTCGCACAGGCTGGGCGCTGCTGCGCCTTTAAGGCGCCTGTGGCTGTGCTATGAGGGGGCGCAGGCTGCGAAGGGCCGAGGAAGGAGCGGCGGTGGCGCTGGCCACCGGCTCCAGGTCGAAGCGGGGGCGGAGCAGCTCGGCGCGCGGGGCGGGCGCTGGTCCTGCCCAGCGCCCGCCCCGCGTGCTGGAGAGGCCGCAGCGCCATGCGAGAGCGGTGCCCGTCGGGCCCGGCGCTTGCAAGGCTCCCCGCCCCGCGCAGCCTGGGCTGGGCAGCGCGCAGAGGACGCAGCGGCGCAAGCTGCTGGCGAGGGGCCCCGGGACCCTAGCGGCCCCTGCGGGCATCGCCTTCACGGGCTGGGACTGGCGGTCATTTCCCTCTGTTGCGGGGTGGCTCCGGCTCAAGGGCGGGTGTTCTGGCCTGCTCTGCCCTAGGGCGTCCTCGGGCCGGACTGTGCTCCAGCCGGCGTCTGTCATTGGATTGCAAAGGGCGAGCTCGGTGCTCTCAGCGATCGGGCTGAGGTAGCGCGGGAGAAGCAAATGCCTTGAACTTTTCTCCCCCGGCGAGGGGAGGGACCCTGGCACGCGAAGACCGTGCGGGCGGAGCGGGGCAGCCGGCTGGTTATGTGCAGTCATGGCTTGGCCGGCGTATTGGGTGGACGAGATCCAGTGGTTTACCCTGGTCACTCTGTTTGTGGCCGCCCTGGTCACTCTGGCCATCTACCTGGTGCAATATGCTCTGGTCGCTCTGCGGAACAGCAGGAGGAAACCGCCGTCGTCGGATGAACTTCTGCAGGGAAATGACACCCTATTGGCCTGGGTGCTGTCTCTGAACAGCTGGAGGACCCAGTGGCAGAAAGCTTGGATAACAGCCCTGAATGCAGAAGCCAAAGTGAGAGGGGTAAGTGGCCGTGTATACTGGAAAAAAACGAAAACAAAAATAGTGGAAGTCTTGCACTGAAAACGACGTTGCAGTCGTCTGTGTTACCATAATATGGGCATCTGCACTTATTGCAAGTATCTGTTCCTTGAGATCTCATGGTTTTGAATGTAGATCTGTTTCCCCAGTCCTATTTCATGGGGGTGTAACCCTGTTGACTCTTATGGAGTTTCAAATCGAAGTGAACCTGGTGAAAGGGGAGTGGAAAAATGGCTTTATGTCTCTTATTCCAAAAGGATCTTATATGTAGTATTTTAAATACTGTTGTGACTTTTATACCTGCACTTTTGTGTAAGTTAAAGTCCTGGAGAGTAATTTGAAAACCGAACCTCAGATTTTTAAGACTACAGCGTAAGGAATTATCAAGTTATTTTTTCCCTTCCAAATAAATGAACACTCACTGTTCATCATAATTGCCTTCTGGAAGCTTTAAACTAAAACCTTTCTTCCTACTTCTTACCAAATCAGTATGATTCCTTCCACTTTTTTGAACTGTCATTCCGTTAAAAAGGCGAATCTATTTTGGTAAATACATATGAATTTGGAAATGCAAGAGCCAAATTTTGCTTTCCATTACAGCTGTACAAATCAGGAGTACAGTATAAAGCATCAATGAACTGGATGTACACTCGTGTAACTGAAAGTAGAATCCGACCCAAAGACTTACACCTCCCCTACAGAGCTCTCTTGTGGTTGTAGTCTGCCAGGAGAGCTAAATAAGTGTTGTCTATCCCAATAACATGCTAGAACTTTACTAGACTCTAGTTTTATTCTTACGTTTGCTAACCGTGAATCAAGTCTTTTGGGGACTATGAAAAATGCTAACTGTATATACGTTTGTTAATAAAACATACATAATGTTTACCTGATTTTATTATGTTGAAGTCATTGTCACTATTTGACTTCTGCTTTGCCTTGCCCACTGTTTACCATGTTTGCCAAAACAAGAAGTAAATATGTGTATGGTTACACTTATTCAGAATATCTTTGCCAGTGAAATCTAGAAATTTTCTTATTCTAGCCACTATTTCCTTTAAAAAGATATATAGAAGGGAGATGGCTAGAAGTGCAGGAGAGAGGGTGTTACTGACCTCTTAACCAATCAAGATAGACTCTGCATAGCAATTGATAACATTGTCCTGTACCTCTGAGGTAAACAGTAGAAACTTCCTGACTTGTCACATGACTCTAATGTCAATCATGAACCAGACTTTTCCCCTTATATAACTCTCAAAACTGGTCAATTCCAGCCCCTCTCATGTATGTTTTTGAACACATTTCAGATTTTTGATGTTTACTTCTGTTTAACTTATTTTTGTTTGTCTGGCAGATCTCAGTCTTGTAGAGGGGAGCAGAATAGAGTAAAATAAGATAATGTTCAACCTTATGTCAGTCATGCAACTTATGTTTGAATTTTATATAAAACGTAAAAAAAAATTGTCTGAATTGGCATGCACAACATTTGACCTACCTTTCTACTCCCAGTATCTTTGTGTAAAGGACGTAAAACTTTATATATGTTATTTAAAAAAAACAAAAAACCTTGGGATATGAAGGGGGGATGCAAGGGTACTTCAGGCCACAACAACCTAATTTCCTGGACTGAAATTGAAACTTTGCTGTGTCACTGGAAATACCCAATTCTAACCATCTGGGAAATGTTGTTTCTGAGTGTAGATTTTTATGTTTACTCTTCACCACCATCTCCCCAAGCCAGTGATCTTTTGTTAGTAATCTGTTATTTCTAAGCAACCCATGTGTGTGCATGTGTGTGTGAAATTTAAAATTCTCCAGGCATCATTGTAAATGGGGAAGGTCGGTAGGAAATACTTTTGATTGTCCTCTTAAAATATCAGTGCAGTGTGAGAGAACTATGGGTGTTATGATAAAGGATGAAAGACAGAGTTCTGCAAAAATAAATATTTTAAGAATTGTTATGAATTGGATACAGGTTCCAGGAGACAGAAATTAACACCACACTGTAGGCAAACAGATACAGAAAGTAACATTGCTTCTCACACACACCCTCCCCAAAAGAGCCTCTGTAGCCTTTTCGTTTGATGAATTCACTGCCTGACACTGCAATATGTTGTTACTCCCTCAGCTAGGCTCCCAAATGCTCAGAACAATGTCAGCATCACAACGCTAATGAAATTCCTCCATGTGTACTCTTATACCAAAGCAAAACTTAACCTGGGAAGTCTGTTAATGCAGCAGCAGCAGCAGCCGCCGATGAGCAGTCACAGCATGAGTAAAATGTAATTACTGTTGTTTCTGAAAACGTGACTTCACAAAGCAGTGGATTTTAGGGATCTCTTTCTGCCCCTCTTTGTGTGTGTTACGTTTACATCATATTCTTCTTCCTAGGTTCTGGTCAGTGTTGTAGGCGTGGAGTGTTTTTCTGTTAAGTATTAAAAACAAAATATTGTTGTGTTTTTAAAGATCTTTCAAACAATTGTTTGGTAGCTCTTCATTTTGGGATAGCTCATGCAGCCAGCCATATAACATGCTGTAGAATAGTATTAGAGTTATTAGGCCGGATCCTGAAAACAGTTGTTACTATTATTTTTAAATATTTATATTATGGTAGCTGTGAGAAAACCTTACTCATGAGAGTAGCTTCATTGAATTCAACAGAATTACCTGCAATATGTTGAGTGCCCTCACCTCCCATTGCTGTCAAGATGAGTCATAATCAGGTTTTATGAGAGTGAAATTCAGCATAGGTTTTCCAGGATGTTCCTTGCATTATGTAGTGGAGAATAGTGGATAGGATTAAAAACCCCTGCAATTTTATATATGAAAACTGACACTTTCTATTATCTGATGGTTTCAAAAACTTTAATGACAGTGTGTCTCTATTATGTTGAAGGGAAAATAATTTATTTGATTAAAACGTGTACTTGTTTCTTAGGATTTGTTGTTGCTTACATTTGAAGAAGACACAACTCCTCAGCCACTGGAGCTAGCAGTTAGACGGGTTGTAAGTGTTGTAAAGTCAGCCCAAGAGAAGGTAAACTTTTAATGTTTTCTCTTAATAGATTAAAATTGTTACTCCTTTTTAAAATACTAAGCTTTGTCAAGCTTGGTAATGGACTTTCTGAGTTATGGACTGTTGTAAACCCTGTGCATGCTTATTTGAGCCGATTATAAGTTTGAGTGTGTTTCAGGGCTACTAGCAATTGATCACAAAATTGAGCTCATTCTTAGTTTTATGTATGCATCTGTTAAGGTCACATGGCCAAATGTTTTCCCATTATTTCCCCCTCCCGTTACTGTTAAAGTCTGCTTAGGGTGGGGAAGGAAAGGAACATTCTGGAGAATGTTTTGTTGATTAAAAGTTTTACTTAACTGCAACCAGATAAGAATAGGCCAAGTAGGTACAAAGTCTTAAGGGTGAAATCTTGGCCCCGTTGAACTCAATGTGAATTTTGTCCTGGTCTTTAATGGGTCTGGAAAGTCACCCTAAAAGGTATTAAGTGAGAACTAGCATATGAATGCTTTTTTTTTTAAGAAGCACACAACATTAAAACAAGACTGAATGTGGCCATTTGAATATGTACATTCTTTCCGTGAGATACACAAGCACAACTCTACTGTCTTCAGTGGAAGTTGCATTGGGTGGCATAATTTGGACAAAATTGTAGAGGCTAATGACTAAGTTTTCAAACTTAAATGCCTACAGTTAGGCCCCTAACACAAAGTGGCCTGATTCTCACAGGTGCTAAGCACCCACTCTCTTATTACTTCTCTCTTCCTGTTAGTCCTGTGAACTATGCACATAAGTCAGAGTAGTCTAACTTTAGGTTCCCCGATTTGAGGTTTGTTTTTGTTTTGTTTTTTTGTTTGTTTTTTAATACCTTCCATTCAACGAAGAATTTGTTAAGGGCCCAGATCATTTGATATGGCAGATCTGCATTCAGAGTAAGACCTGAGTGTTTCTACACCCCTAATCCTGAGGCTAGCTGATGGCTCAGCCAGTCCACAGAGTAAGTTAGGGGAGTCTTAACTCCCAGGATGTAAGGATGCCCATCTGCATCTCCCTTTTCTCCAGCAGTTGGGGCTAGGATGCTATTATGTTGGCTTCACATTATCTGAGGATTCCCCAACACAGGGGGAATCCTCCGGAGGCTGGATCTGCTAGTACTATGGCTATAGTACTTTTGGGCCACCACTGGATCAGATTGATGTTTTTTCTAAGAGATGCTTTAGTGCAAGCAGGAATTAATTCAATCAGGGAAGCTCTGTGGCCTGTTTTATACAGGGGATCAGACTAGATGATTATGGTAGATCCTTCTGGCCTTAATCTATGAATCTATATAAATATTTTTTGTGGAGCACACATAAGAGGGAGATTGGGGGATTTTGAGGAGGGGGAAGTAGAACCAGCCGAGACCAGAAAAGTCAATAGCCTGGTGATTAGGGCACTCCCCTGGGATATACCTGCTCTAGAACCTGGGTCTCCCATATCCCATTTAGGCATTGATCTGGGTCTCTTCCATTTATCTCCTTTCTCTTCCACCTCCTTCTCTTCCTTCCCCACACCCCCAAAATACCCCAAAACAAAACATCCTGGATCTAAAAAGCTTTCTGATGGAAGCTTAGTTGAGATGATAAGTTTTGGTGTTGACAAATCTACATTTTCCACTGAGAAACATTTTGGCAAAAAAGTCAGATACAGACAGGACTGTGTTGAACACTGTCTTAATCATATAGGCAGGTTTTTATGGAAATGGCTTCAACTTTATCTATGAATTTCTTTACTCTTCTTGGTTTAAGACACACACTGCATGAAATTCAAATATATTTTGCCTCTCTGCACAATAGTTGTAAATTAAAGAAGGAGCCCTTTGATAGATACTTTCACTCCTTTTTTAAATGCATGTGTGGTTTTTTTTCCCTAGCAAACTCTGGTAGTTTTCCTGTAGAACATTAATTGCAAATCCAAAGATCATTGATAGTAAATTCATGGAGAAATAAGTAGTTCTTTTGTATTGTTCTGTTCCTGGAATTGGTCTACATTAAATTAGAACGGGAAATTCTATAATACAGAATAGAAACCTTTTTTAAGGCCCTGTCCACACTGCAACTTTCAACTTGAGTTTGTAACTAGTTACTAGCATGGAGTGTGACCAGGCCCCACATGTTTATCAATGCAGTGGCAGCCAAGAGCATTTTGCCCTTGCCAGAAGCCATGGTTGGCACATGGCTATCTTCTTGCAACCAGTTTGGCACCCTTTTATTTGTGATTGTATTACAAGAGCATCTAGAGGCCTCACTCAAGGATCAGGGCTCCATTATGCTATGTGCTTTACAAACCTAATTTAAAAAAACACAGTCCCTTCCTCAGAGCTCACAACTAGGATATGACAAGACTCAACAGTGGATGCAACAGAGGAATTGGAGTGAAAGGACAAAACGACAGTAAAGTAAATACATGTATGCATAATATTATGCATAAACACCATGGGGTTCTTTTATGTGTTGTGTGTATCTCTTCTGTGTGATTAGTCTCCTTCCTCTCAGCTCTCTCTGCAGGAGGACATGCCTGAGTGCATTAGTCCACATGATGCAGGTTCTACTCTGTGAACAAGTCTACCAGGGCACTGTATCTCCTACTGAGGTATTAGTGGATATCTGGCCAGAATGTTGTTCGTTTTTGCAGTAGATCCAGAGACCCCACTTAGGATCAGGGCCCTATTATGCCAGGCACTGTACAAACATATCCCAACACACGTTGTCCCTTCCTTGAAGAGCTTAAAATCTAAGAAACTGGTGCATTTCCCAGGAAGCACTGATGGTTAGGCCGGATGCCAGCTGTGGGCAAACAAACATGGTTGTAATGGCAGAAAAGTGGCTGTGTGGATGCAAAGTGAACCATGTGACTTGTTGCAAGTGAAGGTGACCAAGCCTCTAACTAGTTACAAAATCAATTAAAAATATAGTTTGGACAGGGCCTAACTGTATAGAATGAAGTGATTTGTTTTTAGAAGTACTTGCATTGCTTTAGTTGACTTGGTCAGCATTTCCATCACCTGTTTCCAGAAGGCTTATTACTTGGCAGTAAAAGTTTTGTGTTTTGCTTTTGGTTTTTTTCCTCATGTCTGGAACTTGGCACATAAGGATCTGGCCTAGGCAAGAGCAAGTTTTGAAATCCATTTAGTTGTTTTTAAGCTACAATGAAAAGTATCCCTCCTTTTCCTTCAAAACATTGACATTGCCTGCTTGACATATTCTTCATACTCTAAACATTCCCCCTGGGGTGAGGGGGAAAGGAAGTGGTTTAGAGAAAGGAAAGCTTCATTTAGTGGGCTAATCAGCCATGTGATTTTCAGCTGGGCTTTTCAGCCTGCTCTTGAGGGCCTTATTAAGCTACTCTGCCATTGCAACTGTGCTGGTTCTGTAGGTTGGCTGAGAGAGTTGAGCAATGTTGCCAAGAGCAGGTGGTATAGGGTAGCACTGTTGTAGTGGTTGGAACCTTTCAATCCCTTTTGGAGCTGGCCAAGAGAGAGAAGGAGCAGGTAAAGACCAGTCATGCAAAAGGCAATCCGTTAGTTTTAAAACACGCTTGAGATGTTTGATATCCATCCCATCATCTTACCCTGAACTCCTGAGGAGAGACTCTGGGTTACTGGCAGGAGAGAAACATGATCTGTGATTCACGCTGCTTATTGAAGGTCACTGACTAATAAGGTTAACCCAGGCATGGCCTTGGATGAAGTCTCTGATTTTTGTATTTCTGAGATCTGGCTGAGATGAAACTGTTGTGGAAGAAGAGAGCCCTGTCTTTCTCTGGTCACTACTCTGAGTGCAGAGTTAAGATAGTTTGGGTGCCTAAGAATAAATTGGCATACCTTCCAACACTGGGGTTTATTGTAAATTTAACCTTAACTTCAATTTTCTGGCTTTCTAATTGTGTGGCTTTTCTTATAAGGATTTTTATTCCTAAATTACTGATATGCAGTCAACCTTCATTAAGCTATTTATCTGGGAATAAAATTGTGTTGTATAGTAGCACCTGTTTCTTTTCTTTCAAAGAAAAGGCCAGCCAATGCTAGTGATGCACTGAGAGTTTTAATAAATATGTATAGCTAGTCATCTTAACAAACCCTAAATATACTGCTACTGGGAAGCTAAAAATTTACCACTTAAAATCCATTTCATTATGGGATATGTCCCACTTGTTTAGAGGGGGTAGGAAGAATAGAATGTCAGAGGCGTGGGCAATATTTGGAACAATGTGTGAAGTGTGTGAGGTTTATATAGTTACCTGTACATAACAATTTTATTGAAATAAAACAAATATACAAACTAAAATAAACCTAAACCTCTTTATTTTAATTATTTAACTGCATGTTGCCACTTCTTCAAGGAGAAAAGAGTAGCTTACATTTTGTAGCTCTCTAGAGAGGTAGGAGGGAGCAAACTGAAACTGAGACACAAGTTCCCCTACTAATTCAGCTATACCTCTACCCAGATATAACACAAATTCGGATATAACGCGGTAAAGCAGCGCTCCAGGGGGGCGGGGCTGCGCACTCCAGCGGATCAAAGCAAGTTCAATATAACGGGGTTTCACCTATAACGCAGTAAGATTTTTTGGCTCCCAAGGACAGCGTTATATCAGGGTAGAGGTGTATCTGGAGAACCGGAGGAAAAAGTTCATCTAAAAAGTTAAAATCAGACTGAGAGATAGAAATATAAAATTTCTGTAAATTGTGAAAGGGAAAACTTAAAATAATTTAGACACTCTTATTTATATAGACGCATTCTCGTTAAAATAGTGTCTAAACTTGTTGAATTAAAACTACAGATCTGCAAATATTTGTCTGTGATGGATCTTGAAATTAACAGATTTTTTTTTTATTTAATAGTTTGTGGCTCAGAAGCACTGTTGTTGATTACAACTCAGGGGAGAAGGGAATAAGAAAAGAACCAGAGTTAGAAGATAAGAACACTGGTTAATGTATAAATTCACCATACAAATAATGGCTATTTTACCTTTAATTCCATTGAGACAAGGTAGAGAACGAAAAGATGGAGCACCCATTCCAGTGGGTGTAGGTCTAAGCAGGCGTGACTTTCACATTTTAGGATAAAGGAAACAGTTATATTACCTGTGTAAGTAAGTGTATACATGTTAGACCTCCTAGAAGAAAGAATGACCTTTTATAAAGAACTTTCTCAGTCTTTGAAAGAAGTGTTGTGGTGTTTCTGTTTGAAACAGAATGAAACTGAGGACTTCTGGGTTGAGTCTGAGAGATATAAGCAGATTGAGAATGAGTATTTGTCGTTTGTTTGGTTTGCTGTTTATTTTAAACTGTTTATTATTATGGAGTTGTACTAGTGACCCTATGGACTATATAACCAACTGTTGAAATAGATACAGTAACTCCTCGCTTAACGTTGAAAAATGCGACTTTAAGCGAAACGATGTTAAGCGAATCCAATTTCCCCATAAGAATTAATGTAAATAGGGGGGGTTAGGTTCCAGGGAAATTTTTTTTTCACCAGACAAAAAGCTATATATTATATAGATATACACACAGTATACGTTTTAAATAAACAATTTAATAGTGTTCACAGCGATGATGATTGTGAAGCTTGGTTGAGGTGGTGAAGTTAGAGGGTGGAAAAGGGTGGGATATTTCCCAGGGAATGCCTTGCTGCTAAATGATGAACTAGCACTCGGCTGAGCCCTCAAGGGTTAACACACTGTTAATGTAGCTTCTCATCAAGGCAGCACGAACACGAGGGAGGGGAGACAGCATAGCAGACAGAGACAGACACACCTTGTGTGTGGGAGAGAGAGAGATATGTACACTGCCCCTTTAAGTAAGCTGACCCACTCTTAAGTGCATTGTCTTTTTAAGTAGATCAGGAAGTTGAGACAGCAGCTGCTGCCCCAAGCTCTCAATGTCTCTCTCCGTCTGTGTCCCCTCCCTGCTCTATATGGAGAAGGGGTAAGTGGGGTGCAGGAGCAGGGGGGGAGGGGAACACCATGACATTAGCCCTCTCCTCCCCCCCTGCACAGCAAGCAGGAATCTCTGGGAGCAGCTCCAAGGCAGAGGGCAGGAGCAGCACATGGCAGTAGGTGGAGGGACAGCTGAACTGCCGGCAATTGATAGCCTGCTGGGCGGCTACAGCACAGGGAACTTAGGGGAGTGGGGAGCTGATAGGGGGCTGCCGTTCCACCCTGGTTACAAGCTCCCACCAGCTAGCTGCAATGGGCTGCTCTTCCTGCAAGCAGTGGACAAAGTAGGCAGCGGCCAAACGATGTTAGAGGGGAGCACTGCATAACTTTAAACGAGCATGTTCCCTAATTGATCAGCAACGTAACAATGAAACAACTTTAACCGGGACAACTTTAAGTGAGGAGTTACTGTAATGCAAATAAGAATTGTAAATCAATTATCAAGAAAACAGAATTTTTTGGAGGGTGGGGGAAAGAGACAGAAATAATGAATGTCTTGTCCTCCTAAGAATATTTTTGAGGGTGTGGAAAGGGACTGTAGGGGGAGGGATAGCTCAGTGGTTTGAGCATTGGCCTGCTAAACCCAGGGTTGTGAGTTCAATCCTTGAGGGGGCCACTTAGGGATCTGGGGCAAAAATCAGTACTTGGTCCTGCTAGTGAAGGCAGGGGTCTGGACTCAATGACCTTTCAGGGTCCCTTCCAGTTCTATGAGATAGGTATATCTCCATATATTTATATTTAGAGTAACAAATTCTACCTTTGTGCTTTAATAGCATACTTAAAATGTTCCTATGAAACGAATCCTGAATCAGAAATTGATGACTTCATGTGAGCTAGTGTACTTGCATTATAAGAGCATGACTGTGATGTCTATTCACTTAAGATTGCTGATGTGATTCTGCCTCCTTCGTGAATTATCGTCTATATCTGGGGCTCCTCTGTGTTGTGAAATGTGTCCTGCAAGTTCTTTGAATGTAGAAAGTCAGTTCCTGAACCAAATTGGCTTGGGGGAGGAGGGAGGATGAGATTTTTGCATTTGTAGGTATATATTGAGGTATATAAATAAAGTTACTGTTCATAAAAGCAACTGGACTGGCTACCTTGGGTTAAGCAACATGTATTGCAGGCAGGCACTGTACAAGCTTTGTCTCTTGAATATTCACCCCAAACTCTGCCAATGCACTTCAGTACTAAATTTCAACACCTTTTCTGGTTCAACCAAAGATCTCTTGAGTAGAGGAGGCTAATTATGCCAAATTATATAATGGCTTTTTGTTATGTTCGCAAACAGGGAAACTAGGATGATGCAACAAAATTCATCTTTGTGATAGCTGTGAAAGCGACTTCATCATTTTATTCAGGCCATCTTGTGACCCAGAAATCTTAATGTCTTGTGAAACTTTCACAAGATGGCTAGTTTCACATCAAAATATGAAAAAAACTGGGATTTCATCATGTTTTGATGCAAAAATTTGATCTTTGACTAAAATTTTGTATTTTTTGAAAGTGTGTGTGTGGGGGGGAAGGGGGGAATGTTTGACAGTCAAGGAACTTACTTGGAGCATTTTATTGATTGTGTCAAAACCTCCAATTTTTGAGAAAGGTAGTGGTTGTAAATGCTTTACACTACAGTCAGGATTTGAACTTTGGTCTCCAGCAATGAAAGTCTAGTGTCCTTGTCCCCTGCATTTCTGAACTTCATAATTTTTCTAACTGATCCAGGTAGAAAGTTTCTTGAATGAAAACCTTATTTATTTATTCCCTGCTAGGTGGTTTCTTGTAATGTAGTGGGAGACTCCATTCAATTTATTGTTCATGTGTCACATACTTCACCTACTACCACAGAATGTCAGTCATACAGTGTGAAACTGTCTCCACTTCACTTACAGGTAATGTTTTTTAATTATATCCCTTGCTAAATATTACATTCAGATCCAAAAAAACTAATTGGCCCATTTTTTTTACATACACTGTAGTCAAACTGAAATATTGTTTTAACTTTTGAACCTCATAGTTACAAAATGCTTAAATATTTAATGTTAGCGCTGTCCACAAAAATTGGCTTTTTTTTTTTAAAGGTACTTTTGTCCCAATTCATTGTCTAATTAAAATTAAATATTTGTGAAGACAATGCAAATAAATAATATTGCATTTATAATTGTGGACCATGAAAATACATTTTTTCCCCATGAGTCTGATGTTCTCAACCAGGGTTCTGGGCCCCCTTGGGGGGGCCGCGAGCAGGTTTCAGGGCCAGCGTTAGACTTGCTGGGGCCCAGGGCAGAAAGCCAAAGCCCCACCATGTGGGGCTGCAGCCCAAGCCTGAGCAATGTAGTTTCGCGGAGGCATCTGTGTCATGGTGGCCCAGGCAATTGCCATGCTTGGTACCTCTTAATGCCGGCCCTGTCTTTTATATGTAGAAAACCAGTTGTTGTGGCACAAGTGGGCCATGGAGTTTTTATAGTATGTTGGGCGGGGGGGCCTCAGAAATAAAAAGGTTGAGAACCCCTGTCCTAGGCTATACTCATAAGAAATTATTTCACTTTTTAGTGTATTCTATGTTCTTCTTAAGCCACTATCATTTGAGATTTATTAAATTAAATGCTGGTATCACCCTGACTTCAGTGATACCGCACTTGTTTACAGCAGTGATGAGCTTTGTCCAGTGCTTCTCTTAAAAGATATTTACAAGTCTGCAGATGACAAAAACTAACCTCTGTCATTTCAACAGCTGGAACTCTATCTGAAAGAGAAAGGTGAAGACATTGAAGTTGTGTGGTCCTTCCTTAATGCCCCTGAAACTAATATTAAAATCCAGCCAACAGCAGTGCAGGAGGTCAGTCAGTAAGTTTTTTATTTTTGTTTGTCTGTCTTAACCAGTCCTCTAAAACAAAACTAAAGGACACATTTTGAGTCCCCTCTTAAGCACAGTAGCACCCTACATGGATACTAAAGTGTTAAACCTAAGTTGAGATAGAGTTGACCAGTTTTCACAGAGAAATCATTTGTTGGGTCATTGGTTTCATCCAAATCTAAAAGCATGAAAAATCTTGCTTCTTAAATAAAATTATTTCTCAAAGCATTTTTGGACATCTGTAATAAGTGTCCCAATCAAAATATTTTTTTAAGTCACTGTATGGATCGCTTGCATTAGTATTAGAAGAGGACAACCTTATTTCAGAGTCAACTTGACAAATGACTAGTTTGGCGGCAGAGGGACTAAGAATCTTAAGGCTTTCCATAGTGCTAAGCACTTGATTTGTGCTTTCTTATTTGCATATGTTATCTTTCAAGTTACAAATTAATTTTCTCATTATTTGGGATCTTTCTCTCCTCACTCCACTTTTTATTTATCAGATTAGAGAAATTGTACCTTAACAATGGGAAATGGTTCCCTTGTGCTTTTTTTTTTTTAAACTATACACTTACTTTTTTGTGTCTTGCACTGTAACTTGTGTGGTGTTTTTTCCCTTCTTAAAAAGTTGACTTCAGTGCATGTTAGAGCTTCTTCTGAGGAATTGTATTGACTGAATGATTACGTGGGGGGGGGGGCAGGGGGATATTTAATTTTATTATCATGGATATACAACTAAATGTATTAAAAAATGATGTATGACAAAACACTCTTCAGAACACTAAAAAAACCAAAAACTCAGATTTATTTTTCATGTGTGGCAACCTAAATGACCTTAATCACTGGGAATAATATCTAATATCCATGTATTAAACAGTCACTAAGTACTTATTGACAGGTCATAATGTCTCTGAAACAGTGTGGCCCGTTGTATTTAAAAACTCTGCTTTTTGAAAAGTGCTTGACTGTGGATTTACAAGTGTAGTTATATTGCATTGGGTGTTGTACATGCTCTTAAAAAGAACCTGTAAAATCTAACTAACTAAAGGCTTCATTCTCTCCTTAATGTTAATGGGAACTGAGTATGCATCTTATAGGTCTAGAGTCGAAAACCCCCAAAATATTGACATTTATGAATGAACTACAGTTTGGAAATTGTTTCGGCTCCTTCATTTAAATGACATTTTCCCTCTGTTCCTTTTTTTTTCTTTTTTAAGTAAATACTTTTACATGCAAAAATAATAATCATCATCACTTAAGGAACTTATCTTCACAGTGCTTCATACACACCAGTTAAACTGGATGAAATAAGAAGATTCTAGTTTACACTGGCAAAAGCTTGATGACTCTGAATCACACTTGGCGCTCTGTACTTGGCTGACTTTTAATATTGCAGATGATATATATGGCCTTGCATAGAAACTGCACTACCCAGTCACAAAAATAATATTTTACAGTTAGGAACGACAGTTCTAACATATTCTAAAAATGACGTGTTAAGGGTTCTTGAAGTAACTTATTCAGATGCAGTTTTAATGTTTCCTGTGTTGGATTCCAGAAAGAGGGTTGAATGTAAACGTTTACAGTTGAAGATGGGGCACAGATAATGGAGTTAAAGTTTTTTCAAACATTATATTCTACTTGAAGCCAACAAGGAAATGGAATATAATCTTTTTGAAAAAACTTTTATATGAACCTAATTCCCCCACAACCCCAAATGCCCATGATATTGGGTATCCGTCTTTCCAAGCCTTTACATTTGGAACTAAACTTGGGTGAGTGGAGGTTTTTTGTTTTAAGTGAACTGCTTCATACATGGACATGAAAGCATCAGAAAATGTCAATGAGTATCAGGCTAATTATAACAATTAGCATAACTTAGTTCATAGCAAAATTAGAACTCGTTGGAATTTTTCAAATTTTCGAGAATAGTTTCCATTAAACTAAATTTTCATTGAAAGTGGGCAGTGAGTGGAGGGGAAACACCCAACAAGAGGGGTTGGTTGGTTGTGTTTTTTTTTGTTTTGTTTTCGTTTTGTTTTTTAAACTTTGGGGGGGGGGTTCAAGCAGGTGTAACAAAGGTTTGTTATCCATACACTTATCAAGTTGATAAGGTGACACTTGCAAAGTGGACACTGGAAGTTTAATTGTAGCAGTCTTTTGGGGTATTTTTTTTAAATATTGGAGCACAACAACATGCAACTTATACAAATAGGCTCCTTAAGTAGGTTACAAGAGAGAGAAGCAGCAGTACAACATGAGAAAAATAAGGTTGAAGGGTGGAGGGTGCTTTATATGAACAATATCTACACATCTTCAGAGTGTGACATCATAAAGCGGGTAGTGAAACAAGATGTATATACATTGCAGATTGGGATTGTTCAAACACACCTAATACTACCCCTCAACAAGTTAGTGGTCAAGAAGGGACTCTGACTTTAAATTTATTAGGCCTGTGGTGAAGATTTGGTTGTCACTTGCACCAGTGCAGGAATATTTCATTAACTTGTGCTAGTTCTAAAGCACCGTGTAGGTTTGCAAAATGAAATGGTCAGTCCTGGGATGTGTTGCGCATTCTTGGCTCTCATCAAAGTTGTTGAGAGTTGATGGAGCTCAGTCAGAATGTTGCAGGACACTCATCATCTGCCAGGATTAGGTCTTTCATCCCCTTTATTGTGATCATCTTGAGTTGCGCTAGTGAGTTGTTGGGATATTTCTACCAGGAATGCAGCTAAATAGCTTAGCTTCTGCAACAGGGCCTAGTTAATATCCATTTTTGGTCTCTAACTTTTTGTCAGAGAATGTGAGTCCTCCAATTGCGTACAAAATGGCTGTGTGTTCCGACCTGACCACAGCACACATCAGGATACTCTTTCCATCTTACTGTAAGAATCAGGAGACATGAATGTTTCATATAAGACTCAGTAAATTGGCTCCATTCCTTTAAAAGTTATGGTCTGTAACAGTATAATCTTTCTAAATGAGATATCAGTTTGAGACACCCCTCTATATATTTTCATCTATAGGTATTCTCTGTCATGTACGTCTATGCAGTGTCTCCATGTATAGCCTGATTTACATCTCTGTACATTAGAAATTGAACCTCTTCTAGATTCTTCCTGGACCACTTCCAGTGCTCTTGAATTTCCTATTTGTTGTCTATGTGCAATAATTTAATTAAATATCCCCTCAATTCCAAATATTGAAGAAAACTAAAGCATAGAATAGCATGCTGCCACTGATTGATTGTAGCTAAAAGTAAAGTGATCTCCTTTATCAGATCACTGGCAAGCAAACAATTACTGCATCGATGTGCTTTATAAGTAACCTCAAAGCTACCATGTATAAGCAAAATTTTGCAATGCATTTTGATGCCTGCAGTATAAAGGACGGAGCATAAATGAGTGCTGCAATGAACCATCAATATCTGGAAATCATTTCTTGGATGACAAGCGGATGGGAATAATAGCTTAAGTTTCCTGACTGGAGCTGCCTGAACATTCAGACAGAACTATTTTAGGCATGACTGAGGTTTGGGCTAAAGAAGTACCAAAATGATCATTGTGTGCTGAATGGAAGTTGCCAAATTTCAGCTAATGGAAGTCAGCATAGTTCCATAGAAGTCAGTGGTACTAGTTTGATAATCTGACCTGCTGTCTGTATATACTGTATTGCTATCCTGGTTTTGCCCAGGTGGTAAAAGCTTTAACAGCATAACAAATATGTATGAAATCATGACTGAAGTTCTTTTTGAGGTGAGTAATGACTTTACCCTTTCCATTTCTCCTTCAGAACTGCTTGTGATTATAATGCATATATTGTGAATGTGGGTTTTTTATTTTTAATAGCTAAGATCAGTGACTATTTGTCTGACATTTCAGTATGTCTGGCTATTGGCACTAGACCTGCTCTCATTCTTACAACATTTGCTTTATGCTATAGTGATAGACTGCATAGTCAGCTGTCCAGTGAATTTCTGCATTAATGTTTATTCTCCTGATTAATTAGAAGCATGATTCTTTTTTCTCTCCTACTAGGGCCAGATGGCTGAGACATGTGCAATATTTGAGCCATTCAGAGATGTTTTCCAGAATCTAATTAGTTTAGTTTCACCATCTGTAATTTTGAGTACAAAACCTACAGATATAATAAAGGAGGTACAGGTAAGTCTTGTATACATTTAAATAATTTTTGCAACCTGTTTTCTGTTAATATTACTATGACTGGTCAGAGGACACTCATAATCCTGTGAATGAACTGCAAGTTTAACACTGTGCTATTTGATCAGAAATCATAGAGAAACACTTTAAACCACTTAACCTCTGGTACAGGAGGATTTGACCTTAAAATTCCTAGGTGACTACTTTGTTGCTAATGCTGCCCTGTAATTTTTAATATCAAATGACTTTTAGCATGTTCATCTGTGTGAGTATACAAGGTATTGAGTATTTTATATAGATGATCCCTTGTGTCTTGTTTCCTTTTCACAGAATGTACAAAACATAGTAACCCTCCCCCAGGGCACCAGCCCTCCGAAACCTCCAAGGATTCATGAACTAAAACTGCTAGTGAAGAACATTGTAGCCACACTGACTGATCACAGTGCTGCAGGTAAAACAAAATCTACTGCAGACAGATATTCTGCTTCAAAGCTGTAAGGAAGGTGACTCTTTAACCTGTAGTGGTCATACTTTCAGACACAACAAAATACAATGAATGGATCAGATAAATCCTCATTCTGATCTGGTGCCTCTGCGGCACTGGTGGGCCTTTTTCCTCTCTGTCCTCTCCACATCCAAGAACCTGTAGGTGGGGCAGAGTAACTGATTTATTTTAATTTGAATAATTAAAAGACTCATGCACAAAGCTAAATGTCCAGGCACGTAATATTGTAACAAAATAAAACCCCAGAAGCACTAATTAATGATTCCAAAAAGGAATCCTGCCAAGCTCCTTTCCATCCTGCCATCGTTATTGGAAGAAGACCCTCAGCCCTCCCCCAAAACCCTATGGAGCAGATTCCTTTGCAGCAATTTTGGGTTATTTCAAACCAATAGGGGTTGTGCACTGTGCACATCATGACTCTCTCCTTCTACTCCCCCAGCAAACCATAGTCAATAAACTGGTTTGTAGCATTGCTCAGTACCATGAAGCACTCCTGCAATTAAGGGGGGGCGGGGAGTTCTGAGGCAGCAGAAGATTAAGTAGTTGATAAGGTGGCTATAATGGAGTTGCACTGCCAAGGAGCAGAGGGCCCTTGTGTCCCAATGTGAAGGCATAGGATCTTTATCAAGATGGTTCTGTCCTTTGGCAAGATCTGAACAGTCCTCAAGGGTGGGTGTGGGAAGAGGAGGACATAGAATTCAATGCACTGGTTGTGTTCAATTCTGTGTGTATGTAGGGTGGGGGTAATCATTCTGTTAGGGGCGTGGAGAGAACTCTAAAGGAAACCTCCTTAGTTCTCTTTCCTCAGTCAGGGCCTCTCCCCTGCAGGTCTGTTGGTGGGAAGGGGTTGAATATGGCCAATATGAATTGTTGTTATGCCCAGAGATTTCCAAGAAAATCTCTGGGCATTGTATGGTCTGAAAAGTCACATTTGGGGGAGAGGAGAGGAAACAAAAGGAAGTAAAACACCTTGAAATACCCTTATTGTATTGTCACTTTTTAATACAACTTTCCACTTAAATCATTTGGAAGCTCTGCTTAACAACTGATGACTCAACATAGGTGTTATAATCCAACTCCCGGTCTTTTCTGTTTGGTTGAATATTACTTGGTATGACACTGGCTTAGCTGTGCTCTGAGTAATTTGTTAACACTAGAACCCT